ATAAATAATAAATAAATATGAAATTTGAGCTTGATTAATACATTTTTTAAAACTTTACAGCACAAAAACAAACACAAATCGATTTAATAGTTTTCCAAATATCTCGAGAACAGGCCGAGGAAAAAATTTGAGAAAATCACACATACACTCTTCAAAATTCTCTATGAAAAGGAAGATTTTTAAAATTTTTTTCTTGAAAAATTTTTCACACTTCACATACAACTTTTTTGATAAAAAAATGAGTTTTTGAAAACGTGCCATCTCAAAAAAAAATAAAATAAAAAAAATTCAGTGGTAGGTCTGAGTATAGCGCAATATTTAAGTGTAGTATTATGGGTGCACTCTACAATAATTTGAGTTATGATTTTGTTTTTACACCGAAGTTGAGTAAAATGAGTACATCACAAATTAAAATTTTTTTAAGTTCTTTTAGAATTTTTTTGAGTATGCAGTTTTGTATTAAATTATTAAATTTTAGTATAATAAAGTGCAAGTTTTAAGCGATTGCAAAACTGACGTTAATTTCTTTTTTATTTTCTTTGAAATCGGTTTTGCGCATTTTCTTCCGTACGAAAAAAGTGCAAAAAGCTGTCAGCATAAATTTGTAATGTACTCCTTTTACTCAACTTCGGTGTAAAAAAAAAAATTCATAACTCCAATTATTGCAGAGTGCACCCCAAAATACTACACTTAAATATTGCGCAATACTCAGAGCTACCATTATGATTTTTTTCAATTTTTTTGAGATAGCATATTTTCAAAAACTAATTTTTTTTTATCAAAAAAGTTGTATGTGAAAAAATTTTCAAGAAAAAAAAATTTTTAAATATTTCTTTTCATAGAGAATTCTTATGTGTGTAGGTGTAATTTTTTTTTTAATTTTTTCCACTCCCCGTTCTCGAGATATTTCGAAAACTATTAAATCGATTTGTTTTTGTTTTTGTGCTGTTAAGTTTTCAAAAATGTATTAATCAAGCTCAAATTTCATATTTATTTATTATTTAT